CGGTACACAGGACACATGAAGCCCGCCGCAGTGGTGATACGGGTGATGGCATTGACAACTGCATCGGCGGTCGACACGCCCCCAGCCGTGAACTGTGAGAGGGGATATTGCTTCCCGATAACGGCGCCATTGTCCCCCCACTGGTTCAGAAAGTCTGAGTAGTTCTTCTCCGTAACGGTAGATCTGTCTTTAAACAACGGAACAACAAAAAGCGTGCTGTCGTACTGGTCTAGGTGTATGTGAGCACGGGATTGTGAGGGCAGAATAAAGTAGCGCAGCGGTACGTACTGAAGCCAGTAAGGATGGGTACCTTTGAACCGACTTGGAGAGGCTGATCTTTGACAATTTTGCCGTCCAATACCGCAGAATTCAGATTCCGCCTATTTGGAATATTCAGACCAAACTCAGAGCCAAGAGATGGGCCGTTCTGTTGGAGAGCCGGAATCTTCGGACGAGCCTCCAGCAAATGCTTGACCGACTTGGCTTGCAAGCATCGCAGCTAGAAACGTAATCAGAAAAAACACCTTTCAAGCCACATAAAACCAAGCGCTTACATCGTCTGCTTTGCACCCGAGAGTCTGGGCGTAGCTCTCGCCAACCTCTTGGGCCAAATCATTTGGGGTCAAGTCTTGACCACCGCCTGACTCCAGCCCAACTGCCATGACCAGGTCTTTGACGTCGGGAAGCGTCGACACAACGAAACTGTCGGCCGCGCCGGCACTCTGTCCGAATAGCATGACTTTCCTTGCGTCACCGCCAAAGCGTGTTATACTTTGCTGCACCCACTGCAAAGCAGCTAGGTAGTCCTGAATAGCCATGTTTCCGCCAATGCCTGCTTTTTCCAGTGCCATGAACCCAAGAGGCCCAAGGCGGTAGTTGAACGTCACCACGATGCTGTCCGTCGCGAGACTGCAGCTATCGTAGAGCGGGAAGTTGGCGGCACCGGCGTTGTTGCCGCCTCCAAAAGCAAATACCTTGACAGGTAGCGCTGCATCAGTCTTGGAGTTGGCGGGCACGTAGACGTTGAGGTACAGACTATCGACATTGTGTGAACAGCCAATCACCAAGAGTGGCTTTGGCTGGTGAAGAATGAACTCACCAGTCTTCCGAAGGTTGGGGGTCTTCCCAGGCAAAGGTCTTGTGCCATTGGATGCATGTACTGCCCAGAGCGGTTGCGTTGAGTATTCCGTTATTATAAGTCGCGTTGGCTATTGATAGCGGTTGAGGCGGCATAAACCTTAGTTTACCGACAGGAGGTTGAGCAAAAGGGATGCCGAGGAAGCTATTTGTGTTGGTGTGCCCACATTTGACTCCGTGCACCTTTCCGTTAGGCACATTCACCACAGGACCCGTGTTGTTGTTGGTGTTGTTGGTGTCGTTGTTGATGGTTTGACCATTGGCTGCGCATAGAATTGAGAGCGCCAGCGTCTGCGCCAACGTCAGTGCCAACGGCATGGCGAACATTGAGGCGGGCGGACCGGTATCAAAGATGCTGCGTGAGAAGTCGACAGATCAATTCTCCTGGTCCGTCGCGCGTGCGCCCTAGCCTGCATTTTGTATTTTGTGATTTACTCTGCTGCGCTGCCCTTCATACCAGCGGCACTGGCAACGAAGCCGCCCGCAAATTTTGTTGTCTCACAACACAGCCGCAAGGGAGACATCGGACCGTAACCGAGACCAATTCGCCCATAGCAGATCCCACGTTTATCCAGTTGCTGTCTCACTTATCTGGCAATTGTTTCCCTTGCGCACGTCATCTGTGAACCAACTCATGAGCGATTTCCGGTCCAGCCCATTACCTCTTTGATGCGTGGCGCAGACGGAACCGTTTTTGCTGTGCAACTTGCGGCAGCGCCGTGACATATGCAGCGCATTTTGAGGTCAATAACACAATGAAGTGAGTTTTGATGGTGGCAAGAAGTTGATTGTCTCATCATTGCTAGAGTTAGCTGCACTGCGAAGGAATGACTGTGAGCTGTTACACATTGAAGAGGCACAGAGTTGATCGAAGAGGCAGCACAACAGTGCCGGCAAGTTAATAACACGATCTAAGCGAAGGGCAAAACAATTTCTTATAACTAAACTGAATGATCCACTCAAGGGAGTTTATCGATGCAAATTGTGACGCGCTGAAAATCCGGGAGAGCGTACAACACAGTTGCTCGATGGGCACCCTGTCAGCTAGCTCCCTCATGATTACAACGAGGATTCCTCCAGTGCCCGTGATAATTTTCTTCCAGCACTGCCCCTTCAAGTTTCCGACGTAATAAAAGCTAGCCAGGTTTTTATAGCGCCATCTTATTGGTGACACGACGATGGACTTCCGTGATGTTTGCCACAGTTCATCCCGTCACTCTCTTTCGGCTTTGTCTGCTCCGTACCGACGGCATATTTCCTACACAGCAGACAGATGGATTTGCCAGCGTACCGGAGTTTTCTTGCTCGGGTGAATTCAACACCTCAACGCGTTTCACAAGCCTCAAACACTCGTCTTTTCCCCTTTTCGGCTGGGCTGGCACTGGACCTAGCAATGCCATTCGCTCACGCGGAATGGCGAGCGTCTCTCCGCCATGCTAGTCAGCGATCGTCGTCAGACCCGTCAAATGGCCGGCAGAATATTGCCCGACCCCCACAGCTATGCAGAAAATCCGGGGTAACAATGAGTGACTTATAACGGTTCTGGACCCATGGAAATCGCAGACAATTAATTGCACTGGTGTTCCAGAACTGTTTTTGTTTCAGAACCGCGAGAGATCAGACAAGTTTTCGTGCGTCGACCGAGCGGAAACACCGTGAATCTCCCACATCTCGACTCAAAGGGCTGAGAACCAAATCGTCAACGCCGGTTCAAGTAAATAAAAGCTTTCATCAACCATGTCGGAGCTCGTCGTCACGACGTCCCAGAGCGTGTACCGCCATCTACGAGAGAACCCCTATATTTTTGGCCTATGTGCTGTAAGCCCGACCCTTATCCTCGCCCCCGAGAGTAATCTTGTACTAACATATGCTGAAGTTTTCTTCCCTGGGAGGCTTTCTCTTCGGTTATGATCAAGGCGTCGTATCGGGCGTCCTGAAAATGGAAGTATTTGGCGCCCTCTTCCCACGGGTTTACACGGATAGTAGCTTCAAGGGCTGGTTTGTGTCAACGTTACTCCTGACGGCTTGGTTTGGCTCGCTCATCAATGGGCCCATTGCCGATCGCTTTGGTCGCAAGGGATCGATCCTTGCAGCTGTCATTGTGTTCGTCCTAGGCTCGGCTCTCCAGGCTGCTGCTAGCAGCACTGGTGTCTTGTTCGCCGGCCGTGCAATCGCGGGCATCTCGGTCGGCATGCTTACCATGATTGTGCCCATGTACATGTCCGAGGTTTCTACACCTGGCGTTCGCGGAACCCTGGTGGCGCTTCAGCAGTGTAAGTCATAACATTTCTTGTAAAAGAGCTGGGGGAAACCGCTGCATTTGACTGTGCAGCTGATCGTCGCTTGCAGTTAGCATTACCGTTGGAATTCTCGTCAGCTACTGGCTCGAGTATGGCACGCAGTATATCGGCGGAACCCGCTGTGCACCCGATATTCCGTACACGGGGTCCAACGGTTCTGAGTTCGACCCCTTCAACGATGTTGGTCCTAATGGGTGTACGGGGCAGAGCGCAGCCGCTTGGAGGGTACCATTTGCTCTGCAAATCGTGCCGGCGCTAGTTCTCGGCGTGGGCATGCTCTTCTATCCCGAGTCTCCGCGTTTCTATCTCATGCGAAAGAAGGAAGATGACGCGCTGAAATGTCTAGCCAAGCTGCGGCGTTCCGAGCCTGAGGATGAGATACTGCGGCGAGAGTATCTTGCCATTAAATCCGAGGTTCTCTTCGACGAGTCTATCGCCCGCGACAAATTTCCAGGAAAGTCCGGCGCTTCCCTGTACCTTGCGCAGAACGCCGCGCTGGTCTCGACATGGCCTGCCTTTCGAAGACTATTTATAGGATGCGCGGTTGGGTTCTTCCAGCAGTTCGTCGGTATCAACGCCATCATCTACTACGCGCCAACCATCTTTGGCCAACTCGGCCTCTCGGGCAATACGACATCTCTGCTCGCGACCGGACTGTACGGCATCATCAACACACTGTCGACTATACCCGCGCTGTTTCTAATTGACAAGGTCGGCCGCCGGCCACTCCTTATATGCGGCTCTATAGGCATGTGCATCTCGCTCGTCGTCATCGCTGCCATCATCGGAGCCTATGATGACCTGAAGTCTCACAAAGCTGCCGGCTGGACAGGCATTGCATTTGTGTACATCTACGACATCAATTTTGCATACTCGCTCGGTCCTGTTGGTTGGGTGCTGCCTTCGGAGATCTTCAATCTGAGCAACCGCTCAAAGGCCATGGCCATCACCTGTAGCGCAACGTGGATGAGCAACTTTATCATAGGGCTCGTAACTCCAGATATGCTTGACACGCTGAGGTGGGGCACCTATGTTTTCTTTGCCGTGTTTTGCGTCATCGCGATAGGCTTTACATACTTCTTTGTGCCTGAGACGAAGGGCAAGAGTCTGGAGGATATGGACATTGCGTTTGGCGATACGGCAGCCCATGAGGAGAAGATGAGACTGTTCGAGATTGCTGCCTCATTAGGCCTCACGGATGCTGTGCCGCAGGAGAAGGTTGAAGAAAAAGAAGAGAGGCCAGGGATAGTCGAGTGAAAGCTACAAGTAGGAAGGGTAATTTATGCATTGTATATAGTTATAATTGTTTGAACAGTGATGGTAGCAATAGCGCACTCTTTCTCGATTCATTTGCACGCCGTCTCTCGCTAGGTGCTGTCGTTGGATTCATGGTTTAGGCAATGAATAGACTAACAACTTGCATTCTCCCGTATCCCCGGAACCTTCGGATCGCAGCGATCCTATTCTCCCCTCGGATTGATTGAAGAAAGAGGGGGAAAAGAGAAAAGAGAAAAATTCAAGGAAGAGTAGGTCGTTGGCTAAACGACCAAAAAAATTCAAGCGTGGTTTCGCCCGGGCTCGAACCGGGGACCTCCTCGGTGTTAGCGAGGAATCATAACCAACTAGACCACGAAACCAACTGGACCATGATTGTGGTGCAGCCATCCTTATAGAAAACTATATTGGGCTGTAATTTGGAGATTGCCAATCATTTAAAAATGCCGAGTGTTGGGATTAAGTTACTTACATGATGATTAGGCATCGCAAAAGTAATTGCCACCACCGTGATGACCATGAAAATAAGTATGGCACCCAACATCAAGTATAAATTTTTTCTGGCTTCTGGATCCTCGATGGCAGTGGTGAAACGTTGCCAAAAATTGAGATACGGCACTGCGGTGTCTGAAAAGGGCGGATCAATAGATCGACTAAGGCTAGAAAAGCAATGGTTACTGCCTATTTGGAACGACCGGTTCTGATGCTGTTTGAAGGGGCCGGTGATGATCCGCCTGAGAAGGAACGACAATGGCTCGATATGATGACACCTGTGGGTTGCACGAATGTGCGGGCGTAGCATCATGAAAGTGCCCGATGCATGTTGAGACCAGGCAATGAGTGGTGACCACTCTGCTGTTGCCCGACTCGAGATTTTCTGCGATGGTAGTGGTAATGTTGGCGTGATGAGTGAGTATTTCGCTTTTGGCGCTGCGCATACTGACAATCAGCTGACGTGGTGGTCATGCCAGCTGACATTGACGAAGCACGAGGCTGTTGCCATGGCTCCGTGAGAATCACTTCTCCTCGGATGGAATTTGGGAATTGCTTCGATTTGTCTCTTCCCCCGCTTCCTGGACTTCTTGTGCTTCTTGTGCTTCTTGTGCTTTTGCACCTGCTGAGCTCTGTCGCAAAGTTATATCCTCAGCAAACAGGTTGGGCACATAGGCGTTTGCGGCCAACCCGCCGCTTGAGTCGAATTGTCGCCCCGGCTGACATCCTTCTCTTTCTCTTTCGAGGTTATAAGACGCTGATGCGGCTACGTGTGCGGGGGAGTCGGCGTTGCGAGAGTAGCCATCCGCCGGCGACAGAGCAAGGCGGTCGTCCTCCAAGTCGCCGTCAATTTCCGGATGGCCATAAAACTCTGGCGACTCTACCGACGACTGTTCGAGTCCATACTCGGGTTCAGCTAAAGCTCATGCTCAAGAGTTGGTTGAGCATCACCACAGAGTTAGATCATCTGTCTCAAGGATCGACGTTGACACAACCGGCAGCCTTAGTTGGGCAATGATGAAGATATGAATCAATAACAGGCAGTGGAAGGCCCGCAGACACACTACTCAGTAACTTCTGTACTCCGTACTCCACGCCCTTGCCACTGCATGTGCTACTCTGGATAACCTCTCGTGAGCTGTTGTATCTTTACCCGTTTCCGCCATACTGCCAACCACCAACCGGACACTCTGAATTCCTTGATTTCCATCACTCCCAGTCATGAGCCACCCGCCACTGATCCTCTAGCTTCAATTTTCCCTCTCCAATTAATTCGCAGTTCCGATGACCCCATTTCTCGGCGTATATCTGACGGCCTGCCTCCGCAAGCATCTCAAACGCCTTTTGCACCCCGTGCGCAGGATAATAAAATGGTTCTTTTTCGCCGCCTTTCTGCCCAATCTGCCATGTGTTGCGTCCTCGATTGCCGTGCTTGTATCTCCCCATCTGGTCCACTGTTCTCAACAACTTGCGCCAATACCATTTATCGGCCGACTCTCCATCCTCTTTGGGGATGTCTGGCTCCCCCTGGTTAATGCTCGCTTCTTTGTTCTCAGACTCGGGTTCAGGTGGAGGCGGGTTTGGGTCCGTGAAGCCGAGTTCAGCGCTGGAATCGCGATACAGCGCCCGTAAATCTTTCAGCACAGTGCTCACATCAGTTATAATACCGGCCCCCCTGTCGCTCAGGGTCCAATTGTGCATGTTCAGCCGATTGTGCATGTCGCAGTCGGTGATGTAATATGGGATATACGTATCCCAGCCTCCTACCTCATCGTACGCCTCCCGGTTCACCAGTGTGAACGCGTCGTAAGCGAAGAACCGGGTAGCCCACCGTTCGTTTGAGTGCCGCGTGGTGTTGAGCTCGGCCAGCGCATTCTCGTAGATTGTCTTATACCCTTTCTCTCCAGCTCTGGGTCTTCCGTCGCCACCGTCTTCCCAAGAGAAGACTATGATGTCCATATGGGACCAAAAGTATTGCGGCCACTTGTGCTCGTGGGCGAGATGGGTATAGAAGTTTTGCAGTTGGGCAAAGTTGAGTAGCACTGGCGTCTGGATCACATTGACGCCCAGCCTTTTGAGCAGTCCATGATTCAAGTAGAAAGGATTTTGAAGAGAGAGCTTTCCTCTCGGGTTGGCCCATTGCGTGCCCGTGTTTTCAATGACGTAGATGTGCTCGGCTGGCCATCCTGCCGTGATCCAGGACACAACGACTTGGAGAAGCAGCGGCCATCCGCGCGTGAAGCCGATGAACAAAGGCGGCGCGTAGTCCAGTCCATATTTCTTGTACAGATTTTTGGGAGCCACATTCCACTTGGGAATCGGCGGTGGGGGTGACGTTGCAAGCGAGGGGAATGGATCGACCACCGGAGGAGGCACTTGTTCGGGCTGGAGAAGATATTTCGGCTGCGCTATTTCCTTCTCCTTCGGTTCTATGGGAGGTATGGTGCCCTTGTACTTGTTATATCGCTCGCGAACAATACCCTTGGTCCGACCGTCGACAACAATCGCAATAGTGATCGAGATGAGAGCGATGGCTAAGAGTACATATCGACGGCCACGGGCGGTGAGCATGTTTAATTCAGGATGAGGGTCATGAATCGTTAAATCTAAGTCGAAAGAATTAAATGTGTCTATTTTCACTGGAACGCATCAAGCGGGTGCGTCTCCAAGTGCTTGTCTACAGCGCAGGAGAGCGCTCTGTGGTGTTGTTAGTTCAATTCATAAGATTGCAGCAAAGTTGTTTACACACCGACTGTTTTCTTCTTCTCTTTCCGCTTCCTGCAAAAAGTTTCAAATAGACTTTGGGATGGCTTTTTTAGGGAAAATGTCTTGTGCTTGACTCTCAACTGGTGGTTAGGCTATGTTGCGTTGTGGCGGAAGCACATTTCAACAGCAAGACGAATCTGCGCGATTGCGGCGCAGCCATTACGAGACAAAATATTACATTTATTATTGCTAGTCATCGATCTTGATAAGAAAGCTTTCGGCTGTGACACCCATGCTCGATAACATGGAAGTAGATTGCATGATGTTCCTTGAAAGCCAATCTATCTTGCGTCCTTTACGGAGTATTCCGTCCGTGAAACGGCTCATCTGGCAAGGAGAAGCGGGTCGCTTCCGGCGAGTCCTGCATGAATAGCCCAATGCGGATCGCCTTAACAGGCTGGAATCAGGTATCTACGCTCTGTAATGCTCAGTGACGCTCAGAAATGGACGTAATCGAATCAGAGGAGGTGGAGTGGCGGCGAATCAGCATCTCATCACATTCGAAAACCAGTCCGTCACTTTGACGTGTGCACTTGATCACAGCGCCGATCTCGATCAGACTCCCATGGCATATTTGAACATTTGAACCAACCAGCAATATGCATACACGTCGGAGCCTGCGCATAGAGTAGTGTGGGGGCTCTTGACAAGTGCCGACACTGGCTGTCCACAGGGGCTGGAATATCTGCGGCTCGATACGAGCATGTTGATGCATGTTGAGTAAATAAACTGGGGTTCATGGCCCAGTTTCTTGCACCAACCAAGCGGTAAACGATGCGGGCGGCACTCCGTACAGTGCTCGCTATTGTACGGAGTACAGAGTACGAGTAATGCCGCGTCACTATTCGCCGCTGTTCGTGATTGACTCGCCGCTTTGTCCTCGTCTATGCTGCCTTGTCGCGCTTTGTTTTGTTTCAATTAACCTCGAGAATTTTTTTCTACAAGGTATTGCGCAGCGCTAGATCCGTATTTTCCCAGGTGCGTCGTTGGACCGACCGACAAGCAAACAGCCTCTGGCGTCTGGTCAGATGCCCTTCCTGGATGGCTTCTATGTATGGCGTCAATTACAGGATCGAGTCTCTGGCATGTTCTGTATGTGCTAGTCAAGGGTCCGCCATCGTGTGAATAGGGTGTATTTCCAAGACACTAGCTTGCCTGTCGGAATCATATGTCGATCGGTATGCAAAGTGAAGAGTGTGCAGCTTGCCATGAATGTAACTCGGAATAACGACAGCGGAGCGTACAAGGCGTTACGCACCGTTGATGAGAAAAACGGGGCATCTCATCGGAGTGATTAACTACTATTTACGGAGTAACTAGTAAGTTGCTCTAATAGGCACTCTCATAACTAACTAGTTACTTGTAAGGAAACAGGAGGGCGGCGGGGAGATCGGGGAAAATGCAACGATGACCTTAATATTTCGGCGCAAGGCGGACATGATCGGTTCCCGCAGCCTGCTTACGTTTGCCTCGGGCGTTCAGAGATCAATACTCTCCATCATTCTATTATTGCCATTGTTCGCATAGTCTTGACGGGCCCTGGTAATAGGCTATTTCTGGCGCGTCAAATAGATTGTACATGGACAATACAAAGTCAGCCTCAACAGCGCCGAAGACAAGCGCGCTCCTGTATCGAATGTCGCCGCCGGAGGCCGGGGGTAAAAGCGTCGCAAAAAAACCCCAGCGGCCATTGCATCACTACGCATTCTAGTTGTACTTATCGAGTTTTCGATGGGCCGATGCCATTGGGCGTTTCCATGGAGGAGCATCGGAAGGCTTTGACAAGAAGCCGGAGTCTGAAACCTGGAGACAGCACAATCGGGAAATCGGGAACAACTCCGTGGCATCACAGAACTATGGCAGCAAACCCAAGACCCCAGGACGGCAAAGATCCAAATCGCGAACTAGACACTCACCACAGCCTTCAATCGATCTCGCATTGTGTTCAGAAGCTCAAGGCCGAATCATCTACGTCACAAAGCAACCATGAGCTGTCCGATGCTGTCGACGGTGCCCGCAGCAGCCATGCATATGGGCTTACACCGCAACCCCAAGCATCCTCCACCAATGACAATATTTAGCGCAGAATTTCGAAGACAGCTGT